CTAAGCAAATATGCAAATTACCATTTTCCAGGCAGTATCTTAATTTTACATTGAAATGTTTAGGGTGCAATTTTTGTAGGAAATAAAAGGGAATGTGAAAAATAAGCAGATTTGGTTTCAGACAGATGGTGCTTGAGCTATCACTAGAATCGAGCCATTTGCCAGGAAAATATAAGCTCAGCTACAAATATTCGTGGCAAATAGTTTCCATAAACTTACTCTAGAGACACAGGAGTGACTAGACATGGTGAGAATAAAATGGGGTTTTTAGACACGTGGGTGGAAGTTAGGAACTGTCATTAAGTTTGTCAGGAGAAAGCAATAGACAGGACACTCTTCCCTACTGACCCATTCATGCTAAAAAATCTCTAATGGACTTTGAAGATAGACTGAATGAAAGAGGAGTCAGATTCCCATTTACCATGTAACCGACCATACAGAATATAAAATATCTATGATAACTTAACCTCATGACATGTATTATTTTCACCAGGTTCTGCCATCATTGAAAGTGAATAAGTAATGAAGTGCCTTCTTTTTCTCCTGTGCCATCCTTAACTACCACTAGAACAGCTAAGCAGCACCACAGTCTGCTCTGTGTTATTTGTTGGGATGCTGAAAAAAATTTGCCAAATATCTTTGTGACTGAAATATTTTTTCCAGTATAACCCTTGGCTTCAAACATACTAATTATAACATTATATTTGATTTATTTTATCTTTAGGATATTTTTATGAAGCATAAATACCAAAGAGTGAAATAAACAAGCAGTATGCTTTTGAGAATGTGCCCTGCTCCTAAATTAAACAAACAAGATTCTGAGCACATTCCTGAAGACCCTGTGTCGTGCTTTCAGTTCTAAAGTTGTGTACGGTATGCACTTATACAGTAGTGACCATATTTAGATGAAAAATAACTTACTGATGTTCTTTTGGAGTCAGAGCATACATAGCGGATCAGAGAATTGATATAGGAAATACAGGTTTTCCAGTCTCTTCCACATTCACGCAAATCATGGTTGGGAAAAGCTGTTGCCAGATACTCTGCAAATAGCAGAAAGCATTCATGAAAATTAAGGAAAAAAGTTAAAGAAACCAACAAGAAATTTTTAAATTTAAAATACTAAAATTTTCTATTTTTAATTGTTATCCTTTTCTCTAACTCTCTGAGAGTTTAGAAATTCTACCCAAAGAGGATGCTTTGCTGAATATCTCATTTCTTCCAATGCACAATTCCCTGAAACATTGACCTACGGAGCCAGTAATGAGGTTTTGGTGCTTTCAAAAAAATATATAACAAAAAGTTAACTATTTCGGGGTGCTAATGCCATTTAATAACCCCAATGGATGAGTCAGAACTAAAAATACATGAAAACTTATATAGAGAAAATAGTATTGCAAACATTATTACACCATGGTATATTTATCTGTGCACGTTACACGTCCATCTTCCCCATGAGCTACTCCCTCTGCCTAGGATACTCTTCCTATTTTCTTTACCTAGCTAAGGAATTCTTCCAAATCCAGCTCAAATGTCTTGTCCTTAGCAAGCCTTCCCTAATGCCCCCGAAGTAATTGCTCTGCTCTCTCAGCTTCCACAATATTACCATGCTGGATTGGAATTAATCGGTTTCCCTCAGTGCTTCCCTTTCTAGACTGTTAAGTCCTTATGGACAGAAATATTCATTCTTTGCATCTTCAGTGCCTATAAGTTCTAGGATCTCCATACATATTTCTGGAAGGCAGGAAGGTAGAAGGCTAAAGTGAATTAATCACAAGATTCGACTTCTGTGCTTCCAGTTACTAGCACTGAAATGTGATTTATTCACTCACATTTATTTTGTTTTTTTTTTCCTTTATTTTTAGTACCAAGTTTCATCACTGAAGAACTGACTTAGTACTAACCATAAGTAACTAAAATCAATAAAGCTTGTCTTATTCCACCATCTATGGACAAGTTTTATTCTTCAGAAGTTGTTACCTATTATATACTATTAAATTGTAAAATTTGGGTCAGGCAGACAGGTGAAAAAATGAACAGTTCTGATTTACCAAGATTTAATCATTATTTCTTCAACTGCCAATAACATCCATCAGATAACCAAATGATAATAAAACAAGATTCCATAATGACTTTACATACCTCTCATTGCAGCCATTTTGTTTGGATCTAGGGGTTGGCGGCCACTAGGGTTTGGTACGCGAGAATTGACACCTACTGAACCGCAAAGCAGGACTTCCTTGGAGAATAAAATGCGAGCCAAGTAACGGGCTGCATGCTTAGGTTCGGCCTTCCTTTGTGCAACCATCAAATGCAAATTAAGAATCCTGACATTTCTTTCCGGATTGCCAAGAAATCCTTTAAAAATACAGGACAAAAGTAAAATCTCTGTTTTTTTCATACAAGGCTACCATGAAAGTGCCCAAGAAAATTAACCTAATTGATTTCTAATTCACAAATTTCTATTTGGGTGAATTTTTTTCTATACTTATCTCTTCTTTTACGTAAATGAAATGCCATCTACACAATTATTATCATTTTTCACCTTTGCTAGCCTTGGATTTGCTGTACTTGAACTAATCTGTTCATTGTCTTGAATAAATTTAATTCTTAGGCCACAAGTGCATATGTGAATATGTTGCTCTGAGGTCCCACTGCTCCCTTTGACACTCTAAAAGTACACTCAGAGCTATATTACTGAGTGATATATGTTCCCTGAAGACAATTTGGAAAGTATAGGTGAGTATAATTAAGAAAAAATTTAAAATAGCTAGCATTTAGAGTATTGATTATATATCAGGCACTGTGCTAAATATTTTATATCTATAAGCTCAGTTTCATCATCCTAACAACTTAATCCCACTTAGCAGATGAGGAAACTGAGGCCCAGAGAAGGTAAGTTATTTGAACAAGATTACACTGCTGGTTATAGAGCCAGTTTTAAAATCTAAGTCTATCTGTTTTTATAAGCCAGGTGCTCTGAACCATTAATCTACTGATGTCTTCCATTCTTTTTTCTATTTCTTTTTTTTTAAACACAAATTTGAAATCATACTTTATATATAGTTTGAATCCTACTTTTTCAGTTAACATTATATTTTGAGCATTTGAATCCTACTTTTTCAGTTAACATTATATTTTGAGCATTTCTCCATTTTCTTTCTTTTTTTTTTTAATCTGCATCTCTGTCATCATGATTTTCCTGACAGGTGACATTTATGTTGCATTTATGCTCTGAAAATTGTGCGAGGAACTTTAAATGAATTACATCATTTGATCCTCACAATTCTATGAAGTAGGTACTATAGTTTTTGTCATTTCACAGATGAAGAAACTAATATTTAGGTTAGAGAAGTGGCTTAAGGTCACATGGTTAATAAGACATAGAGTTGAGATTTGAATCCAGGCAGTCTGACTCAGGAGACCATACTCTTAATCATTATGCTTTACCGTCTCACATACTGTGAATATACCAAGAGTCACTTAACTAATTCCCTATGGTTGCTTTTTTGGCTGTTTCTAATTCTTCATGATTCTGTAAAGAACATTCTTGTACTAAAATTTTAATACAAATATTTTTTTAAAAATATATCTTCAGATAGAAGTGGGATTACTGAGTCAATTAGCATAAATAGTTCTACGGATTTTTATACAAATTACCCCTCAGAAAGTTTTCACCAATTTATAGTTCTAACAACAGCATATCATAGTACCCATTTAGAACAAATAGTACAATTTTTGAAGTTTCTTCCAGTTTGGGTAACAAAATAATTTAAAAGAAAAAGGTCTCTAGAACAGAAGACAGCAAACTATGCTCCACAGGCCAATCCCACCACAGATTTTTATAAATTAAGTTGTATTAGCACCCAGCAACATTCATTCATTTACCTGCATCTGTGGCTGCTTTCATGTTGCAGCAACAGAGTTGAGTAGTTGTGACAGACATGAGATGGCCCACAAAGGTTAAAATTATTACTATCCTTTACAGAAAAAGTTTACTGAGCCCTGCACTAGGATATTAATAAGAGATTAGCTACTTAGAAGTAGAGACACAAAGGAACTATAAAATATTAGAGAGGTTGCCCTTTAAGGCCACAAAACATGGGATCTCCTCATCTTGGCCACTGTGACTTGGCAGGCAATACAGGAAACTGTTGAAGAACACAAGCTTTAAAGTCAGAGAAAACTAGGTTAGAGTTCCAGAACTGTCACTCATAAGCTCTGTAACTTTGGGAATGGAGATAATAAAAGTACCTACATCCATGAGGGATATTAACAGAGAAGAAGTATGTCAGTTGATTAGCACAGTGCCTTGCAAATAATACACACTCAATAAATGTTAGTCATCATTATGAACATCACCTAAAACCAGCCCTCAAAACAGAAAACAAAAAGCTTCCATTAGCTTGTATCAAGAACGTTGAAGAATATAGGTTAAATAGTGTTATTTGTAATATGTGTCTTTTCACACTTACCGGAATTGGTAGGGAAGCTGGTAGATGATGAAGAACTCTGGCTATTGTTGTTTTCCACTACAGTTGGGTGAGTCACTGTTTCACGGCTGTTGCCCATGTTGTTTTCTGCTTTTACCAATATTTCTATAGGTAAAAGTGCTAAAAGAAAAGAACTCTCAATTGCAAATTCTATACCCAGCAAACTATCCTTCAGAGATGAAGAGGAAATAAACATATTCTCAGACAAAAGAAAACAAAGTGTTTGTCACTAGCAGACCTACTCTTAAAGAATGGCTAAAGGAAGATCTTCAAACAGAAAGTTATGATGACAGAAGGAATCTTGAAGCATCAGGGAGGAAGAAAGAACAATAGAAAGAGCAAAAGTATGCATGCCGAGAAACTCAATCATCCATACATTGCTGGGGGAGATGGAAGATGGAACAGCCACACTACAAAACAGCTGGCAATTTTTTATAAAACTAAACCTGCAATTACCACATGACACAGCAATTTTACTCTTGGGCATTTATCCCAGAGAAATAAGAGCCCTTGATGACACAAAAACCTGAGTGTCATGCTAAGACATGAATGTTCCTAGAAGCTTTATTCTTGATAGTCAAAAACTATAAACAATCCAGATGTCTTTTAACAGAATGGTTAAAGAAACTGTGGTAAATCCGATACCACAGAACACTATTCAACAATAAAAGGAATAACGAACAGAAAGAGCAGAAATATGGGTAAATACAATACTATCATGAGTTTTGTAAATCATATGTGATGATTGAAACAAAAATGAAAACACCATCTCACATCTAAACAATAATAGTTAAAAGTGAGGAGGGCAAAGGAATTAAAGTTTCAACACTTCATTCTAAGTGGTAAAATGTTGATACCATTAGACATATATAGTAACGCCTACAGTGACAACTAAGAAAACTATACAAAGCAATATACTTGAAAACATAAATAAATCAAGATGGAATACTAGAAAATGTTTAGGTAACCCATAAGAAGGCAAGAAAAACAGAGAAACAGAGAAAATGAAGAGAAAAATAATAAAATGGCAGACATAAGCCTTAGGATGTCAATAATTACCTTAAATGTAAATAACATAATCATATCAATTAAATGGAGGCAATTGATAAAGTAGATTAGAAAAACAAGACTCAACTATATGCTGTTTACAGGAAACTACAAATTCAATGACATCAGTAGATTGAAAGTAAAAGGACGGAAAAATATATACCATGCAAACAGTAATCAAAGAAGAGCAGATCAGGTATACTGACATCAGACAAAGTAGGTTTCAGAGCAAAGAAAGTTACTAAAGACAAATAAGGATAAAAGAATCAACCCCCAGGAAGACATAATAATCCTCAATATGCCAAACAACAGAGTCTCAAAATACATGAAGCAAAAGCTGAAAGAGCTGAAAAGAGAAATTATTGAACCCATAATTATAGTTGAGGACCTTAATACAACCCTCTCAGCAACTGATGGACCAACCAGACCAAAAATCAGTAAGGATACAGACCTGAAGAACACAATCAACTAACAGGATCTTCATTATAGAACATTCCATCCAAAAAAATCCAAAGTATGTATTTTTTTTCAAATGCCTATGGATCATCCACCAAGATAGACTACATTCTGGGCCAGAGAAAAAAATCTCAACAAATTTAAAAGAAATGAAATTACATACAGTACATTTTCTGACCATAATAGAATCAAACTAGAGATCAATAATAGAAAGATATGATGAAATCATTAAATGCTTGAAAATTAAACAGCACATTTATAAATAATACATGTATCAAAGAGAAAGTTTCCAAGGAAATAATAAAACACATAAGATTTAATGAAAATACAACACACAAAATATATGGGATGCAACTAAAGCAATACTGAAAGTGAAACTTATAGCACTAATGCTTATATTAGAAAAGGTCTCAAATCTATAGTCTAAGTTCCTACACCAAAAACTAAGAAAAGTAAAATAACCCCAAACTAAGCAAAAAGAATGAAACAATAAAGAGCAGAAAGCAATGAAACTAAAAATATGAAAACGGGAAATCAACAAATCAAAAACTGATGCCTCAAAAAGGTTAATAAAGCAAACACACCTCTAGAAAGACCTAAAAAAAGTAAAAAAAGATGATGCAAGTCATGAAACGGGATATCACTACAAATCCAGTAGCCATTAAAAGGATAATAGGGAATACTACAAACCACTTTACACTCATAAATTTGATACTTTAGAAGAAAGGGACCAAGTTCTCCAAAATTACAAATGCCAAAACTCAACCAAGATGACACAGATAATCTAAATAGTCCTATAGCCATCAAAGAAATTGAGTTTGAAATTCCGAAAAGGAATCTACAGGACAGAATGATTTTACTGGAGATTTTTACCAAACATTTAAAGAACTAACACTAATTTTTCACATATGTTTCCATAAAATAGAAGAGGAAATCTTTACTCATTTTATAAGTTTAGTATGCCAATACCCAATCCAGACAGAGACAGGACAAGAAACAGAAAAATACAGAACCAATATCTTTCATGAACTTAGACACAAAAATTCTTAATCAAATATTTGCAAAACAAACCAATAATGTGTCCATTATAATATTAATTATTTATACCCATTCATGATTTTAAAAATCTCTCAGCAAGTTAGGAGGAGGGAAAGTACATCAAGTTAATAAAGGTCATCTATCAAAAACATACAGTTAGCATCATACTAAATGGTGAAAGATAATGCTTTCCCTATAAGATCAGAAGAAAGGCAAGGATCTACATTCTCACCACTCTTATTAAACATAACACTGGAAATTTTAGCCATAGCAATAATGCAAGAAAAGGAAATAAAAGGTATACAGATTGGACTGAAAGAAATTAAATGGCCCCTATTTGCAGATGGCATGATATAAGAAAGATGGCTATGTAGAAAATCCCAAGGAAGTACCAAAAAAGACTTCTAAAACTGTTTGGCAAGGTCACAGGATACAAGATCAATACTCAAAATTTAGGCTCATTTCTATATACTAACAATGAACATGTATTAACCAAAATTTAGAATATAATACCATTTACAAAATTTCCAAAGAAAATAAAATACTTAGGTAAGAACTTATTTTTAAAAAATGGACAAGATTTGTATCCTAAAAATTACAAAAAGAAATAAAAGAAAACCTTAATAAATATACAGACAAAGCTACAATGTTCATAGATGATTCAACATACTAAAGATATCAACTCTTCTCAAGTTGATGTGTAGGATTAATGCAATTCCTATCAAAATTAGAGCAAGATTTTTGGAAACATAAACAAGGTTATTCTAAAATTAAGATGGAAAGTCACAGGACCTAGAATAACTAAAACAATTTTGAAAAAAGAATAAAGTAGGAGGAATCATTCTACCTGATAGTAAGGCTTACTTACTGTATAACAACAGTAATCACAACATTGTGATTTGGCAGGGGAATAGGAATATAGATCAGTAGAACACAATAGAGAGCCCAGAACTAGACCTACATGAATATGTCTAATTAATTTTTGGTTAAGGTATAAAATCAATTCGAAGGAAGAAAGAAAGTTATTCAAATAAAAAAAAAAAGAACCTCAACCTATCTCACACCTTATATGAAATTAGCTCAAAATAGGTCACAAACTTATATGTGAAATGTGAAGTATAAAATCTTTAGAAAAAAAAAGGAAAAGAAAAACTTGGTATCAAGGACTAAGGAAAGAATTCATAGACTTAATACCAAAAGTACTATCTACAAAAGGAAAAGTTGATAAATTTTGTGAAAACTAAAAATGTTCTCCCTGCAAAACAAAACAAAACAAAACAAGACAAAACAAAAAACCTGTAGAGGATATAAAGGCAAGCTGTGGACAAAAAGAAAATGTTTGCAAACCACATATTCAACAAAAGACTAGTATCTACAGATATCTAAGCAACTCTCAAAACTCAACAGTAAAAACATAAATATTACTATAAGAAGGAAACAGACATTACAGAGAAAAGGACATACAGATGGTAAATTAGCATATGGAAAGATGTTGTGCATTATTATCCAAAGGCAAATGCACATTAAACCCACAACGAAGTATTACTATACACCTATCAGAATAGCTAAAATAAAAAAAAAATAGTGAAAACACCAAATGCTAATGAGGATGCTAAGAAACTGAATCATTTATGCACTGCTGGTGGGAATTTAAAATGGTAGAGTCATTCTGGAAATAGTTTGCCAGTGTCTTATAAAAAGGAACTACTGATACATGCAGCAAGTTGGCTAAATATCCAGGGAATTATGCTGAATGAAAAAAAAGCAATCCCAAAAGATTAAATACTATATGAGTCCATTAATATAACATTCTTGCAGTGACAGAATTATAAAGAAGGAGAACACAGTAGTTGGATGGGTTAGGGATGAAGCCAGGGAAGCAATGACATGAAGGTGGGTGCGGTTATAAAAAAGCAACAAGAGGGTTCCATGAGTGTAGTGATGAACACCTGAACCTAAACGTGTCACTAATGTGCAGAGAACAAAATACGCATATAATCAAATAAATACAAGTAAAGCTGGGGACATCTGAATAGATTGGTGGATTGTATCAATGTCAAAATTCTAGTTGTCATGTATTTATAAAATATTACTATCGGGAGAAATTGGGCAAAGGGTGCACCAGATCTCTCTGCATTATTTCTTGTGCCTATATGTGATTCTGAAATATCTCAAAGTGAAAAGTTTAATTTTGAAAGAGCTAACACTAAGAATTCATATTAAGAATGTTGATGAATCTAGATTAAAGAGTGCTACTTGTAATATGTGTCATTTTGAACTCACCAAAACCAGCAGTGAGGAAGAAAGATGCGTTAGCATTATCTTGGTCACTGCCATTTTCCACTGAAGTTGTGTGAAGAATGGTTTCAGGCTGCATTTCTGTGCTAGAGTCTGTTTGAACAACATTTTGATTAATAAAACATTTTCAAGTGCTAAAAGTCAAGAAATCTCAATGATCATTTTTATGTCAAGCAAAACTATCCTTCACGAATGAAGGAGAAATAAAGACATAGGAAAACATTTAAAAAAGAACTATCATTGGTTGGCCTACCCTTAAAAATGGCTAGAGGAAAATCTTCAAACTAAAAAGATATGATGAAGGAAAGAATCTTGGAGCATAAAGAAGGAAGAAACAACAACAGAAAGAGCAGAAATATGCATGCAGAAAAACTAGATCACTCAAACATTGCTGGTGGTAAGGTAAAATGGTACAGCTACACTGGAAAACAGTTTGGTAATATTTTACAAAACTCTACATACCATTAACATAGGACCCAGCAACTGTGCCCTTCGGCGTTATCCCAGAGAAATGAAAAACTTATGTTCACACAGAAACCTGCACATGAGAGTTCATAGCAGCTTTACTCCTAATAGCTAAAAACAACCCAGATGTCCTCCAACCAGCGAACAGATAAACAAATCATGGTACAGCCATACTATGGAATAGTACTCAGAAATAAAAAAGAAAGAACTACTGGTATACTCAGCCACTTAGATGGAACTCCAGGAAATTATGCAGAATGAAAAAAGACAATCACAAAAGGTTACATATTATGTGTGTCTGCTTACATAAAGCTCTTGAAATGACAAAATTATAAAGGAGAGCAGATTAGTGGTTGCCAAGGGCAAGGACAGGGCAGGGTAGGGGTAGGAGGGTGACAAGAGAAAGGTGAATGTGAGTTTTAAAGAGCAACAGGTAAGATCCTTGTGAAGATAGAAATATTCTGAATCTTAACTATGATGGAAGATATGGAAACCTACTCATGTCATGAAATTATATAAAACTGAATATTCATACACACACAAACATAAACACACATACATAAACACACATAAGAATACAAATAAAACTGAGGACATCTCAATAGTATCTGTCAATTGCATCAATGTCTATGTCCTGGTTGTGATGTTGTATTATGGTTTTGTGAGATGTTATCATTGGGAGAAACTGGGTAAACTGTGCACAAGATCTCTCTGTATTATTTCTTACAATTGCATGTGCAGCTAAAATTTTCTCAACATAAAACTTTTGATTTTTAATTAACTTAAATTATTTTTTAATTAAGAAAAGCTACTACTAAGGGTATTAAAGAATCTAGATTAAACAGTGCTACTTGTAATATGTATCATTTCAAACTCACCACAATCAGCAGGGATGAAGAAACATGGAGCATTTCGATCACTGTCATTTTCCATGGGAGGTGGGTTATTCATCATCTGAATGTTGTTGTCCAGGTTGGTTCCTGCTCTGACCACCATTCCTATAAGGAAAATATTTTCAAAATCTAGAAAAGACTCTCAACCTTACATTCTGTATTTGATGAAATGATCCTTCAGTAAAGTATTTGTCACTAACTGATGTATGCTTTAAAATGGCTAAAGGAAAATCTTCAAACAGAGAGGATATAATAGAAAGAATTTTGGAGCATCAAGAAGGACAAAGAACAATGGAAAGAAAAATACAGATGCAGAAAAACTGGATCATTCATACATTGTTGGCAGGAATGGAAAATGATACAGCCACACTGAAAAGCAGTTTGTCAGTTTCATATAAAAAACTAAGGATGCAATTACCAAAGGACCAGAAATTGCACTTTTGGACATTCATCCCAGAGAAATGAAAACTTGTGTGAAAGAGTGAAATGAATGAAATGAAGAAAGATTAAAAACTATGAATGAGTAGTCATAGCAGCCTTTACCACTAACAGCCCAAAACAGGAAACCTAGAAGTTTTGAACAGGTGAACATGTACATGTTTCCTGGTACATCCATCCATGCCATGAAATACTACTCAACAATAAAAAAGGAGTGGTTAAATGAGTCTTCAGGGAATTACACTGAGGGAAAGAAGCCAATTTCAAACACCACATGATTCCATTTATATAACAGCTGAAGGGACAAATTACAGATCTGGAGAACAGATCTGTTGCTACCAGCAGTTAGAGACAGGACAGGGGGTAGGAGTGGGAGGAAATGTCAACTGGAGGGAGGTGGGTATAGTTATAAAAGAGCAATATGAGGGGTTACGGTGGTGATGGTACCGTTTCTGATCACATAGCCTCTACCACAGGGGACTTGCCTGTGGTAGAGAATATGTGATAAAATTGTACAGAGCTAAATACACACACTGATTAATACAGTGAAACTGGGGACATCTGAGTATTATCTATGAATGGTATCATGTCATCATCTTGGTTGTGATAATTTCTATCACTTTACAAGTTGTTACCACTGGAGAAATTTGGGTAATGGGAACACAGAATTTTTCTGTATTATTTATTACAACTGCATGTGCAACTAAATTTTTCTAAAAATAAAAACCTTAATTAGAAAAAGCTACCACTATCTCACACTAAGGATGTTGATGAATCTAGATTAAATATGCTACATATCATAAGTATCATTTCAAACTCACCAAAACTGGAAGGAATGCAGCAACATACTGAGGAAATGTTTTGGCTACTGTTGTTTTCCAATAAAAGTGGATAATTTGTTGTCTCAGGGCTCTTTTCCAGACTGGTTTGAGTTTCTACCAATATCTCTATAAATAAAATATTTTCAAGTATGGAAAGACAAGAAATCTCAACCATGAATTCCATATCAGGCAAAACTATTCTTTGGGAATGAAGGAGATTTGTGGCAACATGGATAAATCTGAAGGGTATTATGCTAAGTAAAATAAGCCAGAGAAAGACAAATACTGTATGTTGTCACTTATATGTGGAATCTAAAAAGAAAAAAAGTCAAACACATAGAATCAGAAAATATAATGGTGGCTGCCAGGGGCTGGGGAGGTAAAAAAAATAGGGAGAGGTTGGTAAAAGGGTAAAAACTATCAGTTATAAAATGAACTAGTCTGAGGATGTATAGCATGGTGACTTATGATTGATAATGATGATTGTATAACTGAAATTTGCTTAGAGAATAGAATTTAAGTGTTCTCACCACAAAACATAAAAAGGTAAATATGTGAAATGATGGATGTGTTAATTAACCTGATGTTGAGAATCTTTTCACAATGTATATGTGTATCAAATCACATTGTACACTTTAAATATATTACAATTTTATTTGTCAATTATATTTAAATAGAGCTAAAAAAAAAAAGAAATGAGCATTCAAACTGTTTAAAAAAAGAATGAAGGGGGAATAAGGACATTCTCACATGAAGGAAAGCTAAAAGTATATCTCACTAGGTGTTCACATTTAAGGATGGCTAGAGGAATAACTCCTCTATCAGAAAAGAATATTGAAAAAACAAATCTTGGAGCATCAAAATGGAAGAAAAAAAAACAATGAAAGCAGAAGAAATAACAATGTGGAGAACCTGGCTAACTCATATATCACTGGCAGTAAAGTAAAATAGTACAGCCTCTCTGGAAAACTGTTTGGCAGTTTTTTAAAAAATTAAACATTATGCTATTATCATATAACCAAGCATCTGCACTCTTGGGCATTTATCTAAGAGAAGTGAAAATTTATATTTACACAAAAATCTGTACATGAATGGTCATACCAATTTTACTTGTAACACTGAAAACTGGAAAAAATCCAAATGTTCTTCAACAGTAAACCAATATACAAACTGTGGTACATCCACACCATGGAATAGTACTCAACAATAAAAAAGAAGGAAGTGCTGATGCACACAACGAGTCAGATGAATTGCCAGGGAATTATGCTGACGTGAGTTTGATTACAAAAGGGAAAAGTGAGGTATCCACATGGGGATGGAAATGTTTTGTGACTTGACTGTGGTTGTGAATATCAAACCTACTAATGTGATAAAATCAAACAGAACTAAATACATACACACAAATCAATACAATTAAAATGGAGAAATCTCAATAAGATCTGTGGATTTTATCAATGTCAATATCCTGGTTGTGATGTTCTATTACAGTTTTGTAAGATATTGTTGTTGGGAGAAATAGATAAAGCATAAACAGGTTCTCTCCACATTATTTCTTACAGCTATATGTGCATCTTAAACTACCACAAAATTAAAGTTTAATTTAAAAAACAGCTACCATTAGCTTATGTTGAGGACGTTGATGGACCTAGGTTAAAGTGCTACTTAAAATATGTATAATTTCAAACTCACCAAAATTGGGTGGGATGGAGAGAGTCGAAGAGGCAACAGATGGGCTACTGTTATTTCCAAATAAAGCTGGATAATACATTATCTGAGAGCTGTCTTCCGGGATGGTTTCTCCTTTTGACTGCGTTTCTAGAAATACAAAATTTCCACATGCTGAAAGACAAGAACTTTCAACTGTGATTTCTATATTGGGTGAGTTATCTTTTAGGAAAGAAGGAGAAATGAAGACATTCTGACACACAGGAAAAAAAATTTTTAATTGTCCCTAGCAGAGCAAAATAGCTAAAGAAATATCTTCAAACAGCACATTATGAAATAAGGAATCTTGGAGCATCAGGAAGAAAGAAATAACAATGGGATAGATCAGAAATATGGATGGGAAGAAACTGGATCACCTATACATTGCTGTGGGGAATGTAAAATGGTACAGCCTCTCTGGAATACTGTTTGGCAGTTTCTTATAAAACTAAACATGCTATAACCATACAACCAAGCATCTGCACTCTTGGGCATTCATGACAGAGAAATGAAAACTTACATTTACACAAAAATCAGTACCTAATTGCTCATAGTAGCTTTATGTGTAGTATCCAGAGACTTAGAAAGAATAAAAAACAGATGTCCTTCAATGTATGAATGTTTTTTTAATATCTATACCATGGAAAGGAACTACTGAGGAATGAAAAACTCCTTTACTCCTTATAACCAAAAACTGAATAAAAGAAAACCCCAGATGTCCTTCAACAGGTGAGCAGTTAAACAAAATGTAGTATATCCATAGCATGGAGTACTATTCAGCAATAATAGTAATAAACTATTGATATATGCTACAAACTGGATGAGTCTCCAGGAAATCAAGCTGGGTGAAAAAAAAAGCTAATCCCAAAAAGTTACACAGTGTAAGGCCACTTATATAATCTTCTGAAGAGATAAATTACAGAAACAAAAAGAGATCAATGGTAGCCAGGTGTCAGGAATGGGTCTTAGGAGGAAGGGAAGGTGTATATAATTGTAAAAGGGCAATAATGATGGATCCTTGAGTGATGAAAATGATTTCTACTTTGACTATGGTGGTGGGTGTGCAAATCTAATGATATGATAAAATGGCATAGTGCTAAATACACACATGAACGTATATACCCACACATACAAACACAGATACAAGAAAAGCTGGAGGCATCTCAATAACATCTGTGGATTGTATCAGTGTCAATATCCAGGTTGTACCACTACATGTAGTATAGTTTTGCATGTTGTTATCACTGGAGGAAATAAGTAAAAGATAAATGGGATCTCTCTGTATTATTTCTTACAACTGCATATGAATCTTTACATCAAAATAAAGTTTTTAAAAAGAGCTGCAATTGGCTTGTTAAAAATGTTGATGGATCTAGATTAAATGATACATATTACAAGCACTGCTTGTAATATGTATCATTTCAAATTCACCAAAATTGGGTGGCAGAGAGGAAGAAGGGTCAGTATCTGGGCCACTGATATTTCCCAGGGAAGCTGGGTAATGCATTGTTTGAGAGCTATTTTCCAGGCCTTTTTTTTTTTCTTTTCCTGGCATATTTGTATCTATGAATTTTTCACCTGCTGAAAGAAAAGAAATCTCAACCATGAATTCCATCTGATGTGAACTATCCTTCAGGAAAAAGGATGAAATAAAGACCATCTGAAACAAAAGAAAGCTGACTGTTCCCAGTTGACTTACCCATATAGAAAGGCTAAAGGAAAACCTTAAAACAGAAAGGATATGAGGAAAGAAGGAAATTTGGAGCATCAGGAAGGAAGAACAATGGGAAGAATAGGAGTATGGATGTAGAGAAACTGGATCACTCATACAATTTCTGGTAAGAATGAAAAATGGTACAGCCTCTCTGGAAAACTGTTTGGCAGTTTCTTTTTCTTTTTCCTTTTTTTTTTTTTTTTTTTGGCAGTTTCTTATAAGACTAACATGCTATTACCATTAGATTCAACAACTGCGCTCTTGGTATTCATGACAAAGAAATAAAAACTTATATTTACATAAAAAAAAACCAGTACGTGGATGTTCACAGCAGCTTTACACCTAATACCAAAAAATGGAGGGGAAAAAAAAGCAATGTCCTCCAATGAGTGAATGCACAGTGAAGACATGGAAAACTATTCATCAATAAAAAGGAAGTAAGTACTGGTACATGCAACAACCTAGATGAATCTTCAGGGAATTATGCTGAGTGAAAAAAACCAATCCTCAAATATTACATACCATAAGATTCCCTTTATATAACACTCTTGAAGTGAAAAATTAGAGATAAGTGTTTGCCAGGAATTAGGGAATGGGCAGTGGGGAAGGAAAGGGTGACCTGACAGAGGTCAGTGTGGTTATAAAAGGGCAAAGCGAGGCATGTGTATGGGATGGAAATGTTCTGTATCTTAACTGTGGTGGTAGAATATCAAATTTATTCATGTGATAAAATTAGATATAAATATAAACAGACACAAATTACTACGAGTAAAACTGGGAGCATCTCAAGAAAATCTGTGTATTGTATCAACATCAATACCATGTTTGCAATATTTTACTATTATTTTGCAAGATGTTATCATTGGAAGAAAAGGGTAAAGTGCAAAAGGGTTTCTTTATATTATTTCTTACAAATATATATGAATCTAAAATTATTTCAAAATAAAAAGTTTAATTTAAAAAATGAGCTAACACTAGCTTGCCTTAAGGATGTTCATGCATCTAAATTAAATAGTACTACTTGTAATATTTATCATTTGAAACTCACCAAAATTGGGTGTGAGGCAGACACATAAAGAGGAAGAACATTGGTCTCCATCATTTCCCAGTGAAGCTGGGTTATTCATTGTCTCAGGGTTGTTTTCCAGACTGATTTCTGCTATTTCTAGCATATCTACAGGAAGAACATTTTTCAGGTGCTTAAGAACTCTCAACCATTAATTCTATACAAAGCACAACTATCCTTCCTTAATGTATGAGAAATAAAGACAGTCTTACAGGAAGAAAAAGTAAAAGAACTTGTCCCTTGTAGGCATATCTTTAAAGAAAACTAAGGGAAAGTCTTCAAATGGAAATGATATAATGAAAGGATGGATCTTTGAGAAGAAAAGAAAGAGAGAGAGAGAGAAAGAAAGAAAGAAAGAAAGAAAGAAAGAAAGAAAGAGAGAGAGAAAGAAAGAAAGAAAGAAAGAAAGAAAGAAAGAAAGAAAG